TAAAAAAAAAAAAAAAAAAAAAAATCTTTTTTTTTCATTTTTAATAAAATTATGTTCTGTGTCCCATCTGTTTACGGAATGAAAATAATTACCGGAAGATAGAAAATAAAACAGTAAATATGAGAGGGCAAAAAACTCCACTAAATAGAAGTACAGAAAATAAGATATTTAGTGAAAACAGAGAAATAATTTTATAGACTAATGTCATGGGCTCACATCAGCTCAGATTTCAAATGACAGAATCAAATTTTTATTAAGGATAAATTGGTAACACCCGTTGAAACTAATAAGGTAAGTGGTCTTACTATCGGTATGGTTATATTTGATGTTGACACATGTTCTATGATTTTACACGTGTTATATATCATTGATATGTGTGAATTGTCTGTGGAAGTTTATGGTTATGATATAAATAAAATGGAAAATAAAAAATTCAATATAAATGAAATGAATAAAATAAATTTCAATGCATTTAATATTCTTAAAGATTATTGGTGGATGAGAGGATGAAGAGTTCAACTTTAGATGAGTTTATAAATACATTTATTATAATATCTATATTCTCCAACCCTATTTTTGTGACATTTTTTATTCAACAAAATAAAGTTTTTAATTTTTTTTACAAAAAGAAGTATATATAATTTATCAAACAATAATAGTCAACATACTTTGCCAATATGTATAAGTAACATAAATTTGTATTTATTTTGAATATTTTGTTAGACTTTACCAATTAAATTTTTAAATTTTATATTTATAACACGAGAAGTAAGATACTCGACCATGTTGAAAATGTTGAGGTCATTTGGTGTCGGAAATGTTAATGTTGAGGTCATTGGCTTTGCTCTACATTGGATCTCACCTAAATCGACCCATCTATCTTCCTGAGGAGAAGTACGTCATGCTAATGTGCACATCGAATTATCCATGTGGTTGAGAGCTCTTATAGCCCAGGCAAGCAACGATGTAATTATCAGGGGCGTGCTCTACCATTGAGCTAATAGCCTGTCGTGGGGCCCGCTATGTCAAAACCGTGAGAAATCCCATCCCTCTATGTTGACTATTTTGACATTATTGATTTACCAAAGAAACATAATAATAAAGCAATAATTAAAGCAAGCCCATAGTAAATAACTATATCCATTTATTAACCAATTAATGAGCACAATTAAGGGAGATGTTATGAATAATAGGAACCAAACTAATAGACTCTACCATTTATGATACTGCCCTAAGGGCAACTAAGGCTACAGAGGAGCCTAGGGATGAAGAATGTCGGGAGTCGGTTGTTACTATAGGTAAGAAATGACGGTATGAAGAGAGGGAGCCAAATCGTCCACCATTGATACGCAGACTGCAACGAACGGATTGTCGCAAGGACCAAGAGGTGTCCCGAGAGAATGAGAAACCACAATATAATAAATGTAGGAAGCAGCATTGGTAAAGGTGTATGACCGAATCCAGAGCTTGCTTCGAATGTGGTCGTGTCACGACCTGACTCTTCGAGACTTCAAAATTTGAACCATAACCAAAAAGTCAAAGGTGAAAATAAATAAAAATAGAATGAAAGATAAAAATTCAATTATTAAAATAAAAGAAAAATAAGTCTCTTTCTTTCAAATATTACAATACAAAGTTACTCCAAAATGTAAAAATGGAATGACGCTTGGAACGATCCCCTCTGTAACTGAACAGCTCTCGAATGTTTCTCGACTGAGAGTCTGTGAACACATAAAAAGGAAAGGAAAGCAGGGATGGGTATAAAACTTATACTCATTAAACCACCTACTTGTAGGCTCTCATTGCGCCCTAGACGTAACATATTCTCATGGGCTTCTCATTGACTTTAGGATGTCTGCTTCTAGTCTTATCTCCTTCGGGCTATTATGGTCTTTGTCCTTTCTTTTTAAACCATAAGAGTTCCTTATGACAGGTTGTGAATCACTTGTGACTCTGTATGAGGCCCTCATGCATGGCTCTAAAAAGGGAAGTTATATTCTCAATGTCTGTCTGAATCCAAATTTAAATTTAAGGGCACCTGCGCTAGAGTTGCCCCTAAGGTGGTCTAGATGATGAAAGCCAAGAAAATGATCCAACAAGAAGGTTGGGTGTAGTGCAGTAGATATAAAACGAAAAGAGAAGACCTTGGATGCGGTACCAATAGTGAGTGAGTTTTCAGAAGTTTTTTAGGAGGCTTTACCAAAAGTACCTCCTTCCCGAGCTATGGACTTTGGTATAAAACTTGAGTCGGGTATTGGACCTATTTCTAAAGCCCCCTACTACATGGCGTCAGTTGAACTAAAGGAACTCGAGGTGCAACTACATGATCAACTAGACAAGAGTTTCATCCACCTTAGTGTATCTCCTTAGGATGCGCCAGTGAATAACAACTACCCACTTCCTCACATTGAATATTTGTTCGATAAACTTAGAGAAACGACCATATTCTCCAAGATAGATATTCGATCAGAAATCACCATATTAAGATTAAGGGAATGTATCAAAGACAACATTTAGAACAAGGTACGACGACAATGGGTTTGTGGTGATGTCATTTGGTCTCATTAACGCCCCTATGGTGTTCATGGAGTTAATGAACTGAGTATTCAGGGAGTGCCTCGACACGTTGATCATCGTGTTTATAGACAACATCCTACTATACTCAAATACGGATCAAGAATATCAACAACACCTCCAAAAAAGTCTTAACAATTTTGAGAGAGAATAAGTTTTATACCAAATTCTCCAAATGCAAATTTTGGCTATGAAAAGTCTCATTCTTAGGACAAGTGGTGTTGAAGGATGAAATTTTAGTAGATCCCACCAAGATTGAAGCGGTCACTAAGTAAAATCGCCCGATTACAGTTATTAAGGTATGCAGTTTTCTGGGGCTAGGAAGATACTACCGGCGTTTTGTGCAAGACTTTATTAGGATAGCCTCACCGCTCACACAGTTGACGAAGAATGGTGTTCCATTTGTATGGAGTGATGCATTATGGTCATAAAGTAAGAAAGTTAAAACTCTTGGAATGACTCATGAAAGGTTAAAGAGTTTTCATTTTGAGGCTATATAAAGTATGTTAACTTTGTAAAATAGACTTGGAAAATGTACTAAAAGGGTCGTTTGTGCCTTCCTTTAGTCAATGACTAAGTTTCTTTGCAATTCTATGTAGTTTAGGTTGCATGTATAATCATTCAAGCTTGTCAGGATCAATATTGCTTGTGGGGTGGTTTGAATCTCAAACAAGTATTCTTGCATTGAGATATTTAATCAACAAGGTAATATGAATTTTACTTTCTCTTGGAGTAATTCTTTATAATTAGG